ATAAACAAAATTAAAAAAAAAACAAACCCTGTCCCAAAAAACAAAAGATAAAAATAAAATAAAAATCTTTGTGTGTGTGTGTGTGTGTGTGTGTGTGTGTGTGTGTGTGTTCCATGTATTGTGTGTGTGATATGTATATGTGCACGATGTGATGTGTATATGTACATGATGTGTATATAATTCATGTATGTGTGGTTAATTCGCATGTGTGCATGTATGTGAAATCTGTATCTTTTTTATATACCTGTGATGATTATTATCAGTAAAGTTCTGGCACAGGAGGCTGTTCTGAAGGGAATGATTAAAAGGTTATTAGTGGACACTTCAGAAATTTCTACATCCCTTTAGTTAATCAAGAAGTATTTGGCCGGGTGGTGGTGGCCCATGCCTTTAATCCCAGCACTCGGGAGGCAGAGCCAGGCGGATCTCCGTGAGTTCGAGGCCAGCCTGGTCTACAGAGCAAGATCCAGGAAAGGCACAAAAGCTACACAGAGAAATCCTGTCTCGAAAAACTAAAAAAAAAAAAGTATTCGTTCAGATGCTTGATGCTGAAGGAACTCTTGCTGCTTGTGTGTTTTAAATCCACCCTTTAAAGTATGCTGGCTTTACTAAGATACAGATCAAATATTTAAAAATTCACCTCTACATGTGCAACAGTTTGTTACAAAGGAAACTGGGGTTCCCTTCTGAGACTTAGTTTCATTAACAAAAGAAAGGGGCTGGAGGGATGGCTCAGAGGTTAAGAGCACTGGCTGCTCTTCCAGAGGACCCTGGCTCAATTCCCAGTACCCGCAGGGTGGCTCATGACCATCTGATTCCAGTTCTAGGGGCCTGATGCCCTCTTCTGGCCTCCACCTGCACCAGGCATACCCGAGGTACACAGACAAAAGCCTCAAATACATGAAATTAAAATTGTGATTTGAAGACAGAAGACAGGAAGCTCGAGGACAATTTTCTTAGAGCTTCAGCAAAAAAAAAAAAAAAAAAAAAAAAAAAAAAAAACAAAAAAAAAAACAACATGGCAGGCAAGTTCTAAGTCTTGGCGACATCCCGGAGAAGAAAAATGGAAGAGGAAGAGAAAACACAATGCCACTTGGAATGGAGGCTGACAAGCAGCCAGGTGTTGGAAGAAGAGATCGGAGACTTCAGAGAAAAGTGTGAAAAAGCACAGGGCCTTGGGGAAGCATGCCTGATTAAAGGAAGAAAAATTCACACTTTTCTGTGTAACTTAAAAAGTGGCCTGGCCTTGTGGCGGATACTGAGACAGCAGCTCCAAGAGGCTGTCCTGAAAGGGGGCTTCTGGGAAGGAAAAGTATGTTATCTCAATAGGAGATACAAAATATTGTATAGGAGAGACAAAATACATATGTCTGTTCACCCTAGTCAGGAAACCCACAACAGATCAAAGTACAGATTACTCCCAAGTCCCCCTTGGTGAACTATGGAGTTTTATTGGGGTTACTTACAGGAGCATGGGTGAGTGGTTACTTGTAAGAGCAGAAATGATTCAAAGACAGCTGCTTCACCAAAGCCCACCCCGACACGGGTGACGGCTCACAAGGCTGGGAACCTGGAGCACAGTGCACAGCCTGCAGGCAGCTCAACTGGTTGGAGAGTGTCCTTTCCAGGTGACTCAGTTGGTCTAAACCTCTTCCATACAACTGGCTTCTGCTTCTTCCAGGACGCTTCCAGGATGCTAGTTTGGTCTCAGAGTCATCTTTGAGGCTTGCCTCTGCTCTTCTGAGAGGGATTCTCAGATTTTACTTCTTCCCCTGGCAGAGAGGGGCCTAGTCACTCTGGTGGGTTTCGGGGAGGGGGAGGTCCTGAAGCTATTTTGAGTTGTTTACCTTCCTGCTTAAGGAGCTTTCCTGCAAGGTGGAGTGTTAAATTTCTTAGGAAATTTACACAACACGGGGATAACTATTCCTCCTGTCTCTTTGGGCAGCTTAGAATGCCAGCTCTCTACCCAGTTCTAGAGAAGGAACTTAGAACAAAGCTAGATACCTCCACTTTCACATATGATAATTTAATATTCAAGGGATGGTGAAAACTGATGTTTGCATTGCTGGCGGTAGCAGGGAAGTGGGAAGGTCCAATGCTTCAGTAGTCTAAGACTACTTTAGCAAGTTCTTAGAACGTACGCTGACTATGGGGCACAGCTCTGGTTCTGCTGAGCACCCATCTTTCTTTGTGATGCCTGGCCAGCTGCACCATGGGTAATGACAAGGAGGAGCCACTTCAGAGTCTACAAAGTGTTTTTCTTTCTGTTATCTCAGGTATTCTCACCACACCCACCAGGCTGCAAGAGTGTTTGAAGCCAGCCTGACTCACTCTCCTAGTTAAAGGCTGGGTCTCCCACAGCTTCTTCTGTCAGGTATGCTCTCTGAAGAGACCCTCAGCATGGTCAGACAAAATTCAGAGGAAGGACAATCAATCCAGACTGCAGCATTTAAAACCCCACAGCCCACTTCCCAACCAGCCAAGGAACCATCAATCAGTCTGGTTCTTCTCCACTGCGTGGGCAAACCTGTCTGTGACTTCCTGTCCGTGGGCTTCAAAGAAAGACTGCCGGGAGTCAGTAAAGAAGGCCTCTGTCTTCCGCTCAGTCTTCCTCCACAGAGCTGAGTTACATTGTCTTTAGGGTGCTGAAGGAAGACTTGTCCAAGCTTACTCATCATCTTGTAATATTATTCATTCATAAATTTCGGTCATAAAAGCATCTATAATCTCCCATAAAGCAGTTATTTATAAAACTGAACTTGGAGCTGGAGTTCAGTGGTTAAGACCACTGGCTGCTCTTCCAGAGGACCCAGGTTTGATTTTAGCACACACACGGCGGCTCACCACTATTTGTCTGTATGTGACTCGAGATCCAAGGGATCTGATGCCTCTTCTGACCTCCAAGAGCACCACAGAAAGCACTTGGTGCACAGACATAATGTAGGCAAAACACTCATACATATAAAGTAAACCATAATAATAAAATAAAACTTAATACTCCCGTTATCAGGATACTGAAATTTTTTCACTGCTTGGGCATCATCCCCAATGTTCTGACTCATTTCATCTGTGGGGCCTAGGAACAATTTGGGTTTTTAATTAATTTTTTTCTTGAGATGGTGTCCTAGTTAGCTTTAACCATTACCTGAGAAGGGAAGGGTTACCCAGATCAGACTATCCTGTGGAACACCCGTGTGGGATTGTCTTGGTTGTTAATTTATGTACGAGTGCTCAGCCCACTGTGGATGGCACTATTCCTCTGGCAGAGAGTCCCAGCACATGCCTGCCAGCAAGCAAGCCCACAACAGTGTTTCTACCTCAACTTCCTGCCCCGCCGTCCTTCAGTGATGGACTGGAACTTGTAAGCTTCTGTAAATTCCTTCCTCCCCCAGCTTGCTTTTGGTCGGAGTGTTTTGTGATTTGGTTTGGTTTTGGTTCTTTTCCAGACAGGGTTTCTCTGTGTAGCCCTGGCTGTCCTGAAATTCAGTCTGTAGACTGGGCTGGCTTCGAACTCAGAGATCACTCTGCCTCTGCTGGGATTAAGGGCATGTGCCACCACACCCAGAAGCCAGAGTGGATTTTTGGTTTTCGTTTTTTTTGTTTGTTTTGTTTTGTTTTGCTTTGCTTTATCATAGCAAAAGAGATTAAACTAAAGCCAATGTACCTCTGGGTTGACCATACTGAGTTCTGAAGTCTCGGGCTCTGTGGAGCGATCCTCTTATGTCAGCCTCTGCAGAGGTTGGTGGCTACCTAAGCACAAACCACCCAAGTCTTGTGAAAAGCAACTCACAGTTTTTAGATAAATTTGCTTCTTTTTATGGGTATAGGTGCTTTGCCTGCATGCGTTTGTGCATGGTGCCCCCAGAGGCCAGAAGAGGACATCAGATCCTCTGAGGCTGGAGTTACAACCTGCTGTGAGCCACTATGTGGGTGCTGGAACCCAGATCCTCTGGAAGAGCAGCAAGTGCTCTTAACCACTGAGCCATCTCTCCAGCCCCCAAAAGCAACTTTTAAAGTTAGTCAAGAGATGCTGAAGGACTGGGGACAGTAATCAGAGGGAAACACACCAATGTATGCGTACACAGTGAAATTTGCATCATGCAATGATATAAATTCTTTCAATATAAGAAACACTGTGTAAATATAATAAATATGCACATTCTGTGACTCCTGGATTATGCTTAGAGAACTATTGATGAGGTAGTGAAGAACCAGCCTGCCTCCATTGTAGGTTTTAAAGCCATCTTATAGTAAAGACAAACTCGGTTCATTCCTATTTACGATTAAACCTCTGTTGCTCAACCTTAACTACAAACGGTTCTGTACTGCCTGTTCCAGGAATGGCAATCATGTTTTTGTTTCAAATAGTTATTTATACCTAGGCGGCAGCATTGGTGGTGGTGGTAGTGGTGAACACTTTTGATCGCAGCAGTCAGGAGGCAAAGGCAGGTGGTGAGTTCAAGGTCAACCTGGTCTATGAGCAAGTTCAAGGACAGCCAGGGCTATACAGAGAAACCCTGTCTCAATAAACCAAAACCAAAACAAACAAAACAACCCAAAAAAGATGTTTATAACCATCTTGCAACCCTACTTGTTTCAAAAGGTTATATGACCATGTATGACTACCTTGTTATGCCCACCTTGCAGCCATGTCTTTTTTCAGGGGGTCTTTATGACTAACTTGTTATGATGTTCTGCTCCTGTAACCCCACCTATTTTGCCAGCCAAAACCCCCATTTGCAACCCCCCCACCCCTGTATGAAAGCCTTGTCTCCTCACTCCAATGCTGACCTCTCGAACCCCACCTTGAGGGGAGGCAGCCCATGTACAGGAATAAAAAAGCTTTGTTATGATATGGGGGGGACCCCAACAGTATCCCGTGTGTTCAGGGAAACACGCTGGCATGCTGTGCAAACGCAGCAGCGGGCTGGCAGGCAACCCACATCATACAGGCATGGGGGGGGGGGCAGAGGATAGTCATTCACGACCCAGATGCTGCATCGGCCTTGGAAATGGTTTATTATAATAGAGAGATGAAGAGAAAGATAGGAAAGAAAGATGGAGAAAAGAGAGAGAAAGAGAGGGGGTAGACAGTGCACACCTCGTAGGAGGAAAAGTCGAAGAGAGAGGAAGGGGAGGAGTTTTTCCTTAAAATAAGGCTTTTACGACAGGGTGGTGCCAGGTGTGGGTCAGAATATTAACAAGCTTGCTTTAATTAAATACTTGACTTAATTAACTTGGCCATGATGCTTTGGGTCAGTGGTCTTTCTCCTCCCATCTTTGGGATTAATCATGCCTCTAAGCATGATGCTTCACCTGCTAAGTGTTCCAAAGCATTTACTATGCTTGTGAATTACATCCTGGATGTAGGTAACTCATTCAAGTCAATGTTCACTCTTTTCCTACTCACTTCAGTAATTCCTCTTGATGCATTTGGAGTTTGGAGTAGATTCCAGTTCCCAGAACTGAGTCATTTCTCAGTCTGTGCTTCATGGGTAGTTCTGGACAGATGGTGCTGCTCACACGTCCAACCAGGTCCAAAGCCATCCTTTATCTTCAAAACTGAGTCAAAGCTACTTCTAAAATGGAATTTCTCCAGGAGGATCCCTGGGCTTGGCAACTTCTATTGTACCCTGGAAAACACAAGTCCCAGGTTCAAGGAGAGATCCTGCCTCCATAGAGTAGGCAGGCAGAGGTAAAAGATACCCAACACGCTCTTCTGCCTCCAAGTCATAGACAGGCATGCAGAGAAGCAAGGACGCTCACACAGTGACTCATAAATAAAGAAATAAAAAGATATAATTGGGCGTGTACACGCGTGCGTGCGCGTGTGTGTGTGTGTGTGTGTGTGTGTGTGTGTGTGTGTGTGTGTCTCTTAGGGCAAGGCAAAAACCGTGTTTTACATAACTTGGAATAACTTAGGGTAGGACACAGCCTGATCTCAACTCCTAAATCTCATTAGTGTAAGAAATGTCAAACCAGAGACTTTTCTATCAAACACTATAAAATTTGTATTCAGAACAAGGAATTCAAATCCCTTTATTGGGGGAGGTTCAAGACAGGGTTTCTCTGTGTAGCTCTGGCTGTCCTGGAACATGCTCTATAGACCAGGCTGACCCTGAACTCAGAGATCCACCTGCCTCTGCCTGCCCAGTGCCAGGATTAAAGGCGTGTGCCACCACACCTGGCCCAGAATATAAATCTTTTTACCTTTCCCATCTCATGATATTTTTATGCTAATGTTTCAATATTCATCACCCAGGAAAATTGTTGTTTACACCAAGTTTGGTATTCCGAAATCTGATGACCTGGATCAGTGACCCTTTTCTCCTTGGAGCTGTGGCCCCTTTTCCCTACACAGTTACTACCTGAGTTAGAATAAAAACTAAGTGCCCCTCCTGTCTCTGGGTGTTTGATCTTCCAAGCATACCCTCTTGATCCAGAGTAAACCTGCTTATCCAGACACTTCACTCAGGGTGGATGCCCCTTTCTTTGTGACCCTGTCTTAGGGTTGCTATTGCTGTGAAGAGACACCATGACCACAGCAACTCTTATAAAGGAAAACATTTAATTGAGGTGGTGGCTTACAGTTTCTAAGGTTTCGTCCATTAGCATCATGGTGGGACACGGTGGCATGCAGGCAGACATGGTGCTGGAGCCGTAGCTGAAAGTCCTACAATTGCAGGCAACAGGAAGCTGGACTGAAACTCTGGGAGTAGCTTGAGCATAGGAGAACTCAAAGCCCAGGAAGGCTATGCCTAATCCAACAAGGCCACACCTCCTAATAGTGTCCCTCCCTTTGGGGGCCATTTTCTTTCAAACCACCACAGACCCCAAACTCATTTCTAATTAGGACCCTGAGATGAACACAGTGGTGTCAATGGACCTCTTTGTTTCTCTTCCCAAGGTGGCCACATTGAAGAAATCTCTTTTATCCATTTTCACCATTACTTGTTTGTTTAATTGGCATGTTGAGGACAGGTGGCTAAATCTAGCCTGTTAGGCTCTGACCCTAACCACATCAATAACACTGGAATTTCAGATTAGAAACAACTTTGGTGATTGTGTGGGTCAGAGATGGCACATAAATCCCACCAGCGTCTTTCTCTCCAGTCTGCCGCTGACAGTATAAATAGCCGGGACACTTCTTCAATGAGTCCCAGAGAAGACCTCAGAATCCTGCTTAATGGTGTCCCCAGGAGGCTCCAAGAAGGCAAGAGAGTAAAGGTCTATCTACTCCGGTTAACAAAAGCTGATTTAAGATGCATGCGTAACTACTTACGTTTTTGATAACTGTTCAACACCAGGCTCCTAAAAAAGCTTAGATAGGTAATAGCATATGTTTGATAAATAAGGTATATTTGATAATAAATTCCTAAGGTCTACTCAGGTTCACAGTAATATTTGTCGAGTTTCTTTGTCCTTGCTCCACTTTGTTAAAGTTATTTGGATGGTTTAAAAGTTTTATTTTGATGCTAAAAGAGCTTCAGTTGAAGAATTGTTATTTTTTATAGGCTAAACCTAACAAGGATAAAGCTGTAAAATCCTAGAATTATAAAAGCTGCCATGTAGATGAATTTCTAAATGGTCTTATTAAATAAAAAACACGGAGCCAGGAATTTGGGTTAAAGGCTGAGAGAGATCGGAGGATTAGGACACACCACGAGCTAACCTCACCTCCCCAACTCCGCAGCTTCCAAAGAGCGTCTTCCTGTATACTCATGTCTACATGCCTTTTCTGTTCTGTTCTCTCATTGGCTGTCTTAGCCCAGCTACATCACTTCCTCTTCTTGTCCAACTCTGTCGCTTCCTGTCTGTCTGTACAGACCTCCAAACCAGACCTCTATAGTTAACTAGTGTTAGAATTTAAGGCATGTGCCACCACACCTGGCTCTGTTCCCAGTGTGGCCTTGAACTCGCATAGATCCAAACAGACTCCTGCCTGCCAGGTGATAGGATGAAAGGTGTGTGCTAACATTGCATGACTTTTGTTTACTATAGTGGTTGGCTATTTCCTCTGATCCTCAGGTAAATTTTATTGGGAGACACAATACATCACCACACTGCCAACTTAAACTGTTAGAGATAATTAAAACATACAAGTGGATGTGTTTTCAAGGTTAAACCTAAAATCAGGCATGCTTAGTGGATCGATGGTCCTCAAACTCTTCATTGCTGAATATGACATTTAAAATGTTGAATTAAAACAGGCTTCCCATAATAGACATGCAAGCTCAAACCAAGAACCCTGTGGTTTCCAAAGGAGACAGATGGAGCACAATGACTCTACCTGAATTGTGGTAACCCTAATCACTGGGGAAAACTGCCCTAAGCCTTGCCTGCTGCTAGGGCTCTGCCCGAACTGTGGACACTTTTGTGTTGATTGCCCTGCCCTGCCCTGCCCTGCCCTGCCCGGTAAAAGTAAGGTCAGTTTTTTCCAAGAACCTTCTCCACAGGAAAGTCTCTCAGAGCTGGGTCTGGCAGCCAAAGGCCAATGTTGCCCTGTGTATCAGTCAGAATCCTATGACCACTGCCCCCAACAAAGCCGTGGAGACCACTGGAGCCTAGAGCAACTGTCTAGGTAGTGGGCAAGTCTGTTATTTTGGTTGACACATGGGCCATTTGGATTATACATTCTGCTGTAATTTATCCTTCTCGTATCTCTGGTGATATTGACTAACTGTATCTTCTTCAGCAACAAGCGTACCAACTCCTTCCCCAAGGGTGCAGCTGCCTTGTTAGTTCAATTAGATCCAGCCTCAGGCCTCACTTTCCTAGAGCAACTGGATCTCCAGCTTACCTGTTACCAGACTCTGAAGAGAGATAAAGTAACTTTTTACTTTTCCTTTGTTTAAAGGGACTTGCTTCACAATGACTGCTGTCAGTAATCAACCACCTGAGTCCCACAGTAAATGGCTGGATGGGAAGAAGCTTAAATTTGATGTAAGTTCCGAGGGTCTAGGAAAATCTTCTGAGGTATATAAACACAAGGTGTATAAGGTTGAGGATATGAAAGTTGACATAAGTTCTGAGGGTCTAGGAAAGCCTTCTGAGGTATATAAATACAAGGTGTAGAAGGGTCTGAGGATATGAAAGTTAATGTAAGTTCTGAGGGTCTAAGAAAGTGCTTTAAGGCATTTAAATGCAAGTTGGAAAGATCTAAGAAAATGATTTAAAGTATATGAAAAATAAAAAAATGTTTCATATTTCTTTTTTCCTCCCTGTACATTAAAACAAGTTGCAATTTGGAAAGATCTAAGAAAATGATTTAAAGTATATGAAAAATAAAAAATGTTTCATATTTCTTTTTCCTCCCTATACATTAAAACTTCTAAAGTTCAAATTTTCATTCAATGGAGTTCTGATAAGCTGGTAAAGCACTGACTATTATTATCAGTCACAAGCTCAAGATTTTAAATTTCCTTTGGTTGTCTTCCAAGACTGGACTTGAAAGTGCTTCTCAATCATGCTTAAAACGTCTCTGTGCAATCTACATGTCCAGCCTTCTGGGAAGAGTGCTAGGGCTTTTAGCCCAGAACCAGTTTTGGGTTCCCACGCTTTTACTATGGCTCAAAGGCGTGAATCTACTGTCTCTCCTACAGTGTGGATTTCAGTACAGACTTCAAACAAGTGGTAATGTTAACATATCTAAAACTTTTTACCTCTTTTTGTAAACTTAAAAAAAAATATAAGCTTCAGGGAAGTGGCTTAGGTCTACCTCTCACAGGTGACACAGACTCCAGATAAGAATGAAGTTTCCCTGTTTGCCTATTCCTAACAGTGGGATCTCTGTCTCTCTGTCTCTCTCTCTGTTTCTCTTTCTTTTTCTCTCTCCCTCATGGACTACTCCATGATCCTAAAATTTTCTTTGTGTCCCCATAAGATACAGAGCCCCCCTCCAGCAGGAAGTAGTAAGAGAAGCTACGCCCAAATTCCCAAATTATATGTAATTTTACTTTGTTAAAGTTAAGTTTTCCTTTTTGAAAAAAAAAGGGGGGGGGAGTGCTGTGGGATGGTCTGTATGTCAAGTGTGTTGCTGATTGGTCAATAAATAAATCACTGATTGGCCAGTGGCTAGGCAGGAAGTGTAGGCAGGACAAGGAGGAGAATAAAGCTGGGAAGTGGAAGGCTGAGTCAGAGAGACACTGCCAGCTGCCATGATGAGAAACAGCATGTGAAGATGCCGGTAAGTCACGAGCCATGTGGCAAGGTATAGATTAATGGAAATGGATTAATTTAAGCTGTAAGAACAGTTAGCAAGAAGCCTGCCACGGCCATACAGTTTGTAACCAATATAAGTCTCTGTGTTTACTTGGTTGGGTCTGAGGGGCTGTGGGACTGGCAGGTGAGAGAGATTTGTCATGACTGTGGGCCAGGCAGGAAAACTCTAGCTGAACCTGAAGAGTATCACCCTTGCCCCCGGGACCTGAGTGGGATTTATGCAGGATGCTCTACCCAAAATGTTGAGTTACATTCCTGATTCCAGTGTCTGGAATGACCTTGAGATTAGCTCAGCTGGTAAAGTTTCCTTGCACTTCCTGATGTCATCTCCTCCTTTTGTAGCAGATGAAGAAACACTCAAAGAATTGCAGGGCCACTTCTGCAACTTGCAGGCCCTGGGGACAAATTGAAACAGAGCCTGCCCCCTCACCTAGTCACAAAAAAACTGAATAGGACAGTAGAATATTAAAGTCCTTCTCAGAGCATGATGTCACAGAAATGTATGGACCATGAAGCAATTGCAGAGGTCAACAGCCCTCCAAAGACAGGAAATAAATCACCCAAAAAGATTTGACTGATACAGCCAAAGAAGGTGTCCTTCTACTTAACTCAGGTTGAAGATGTTTTCTTTAGCTAACACAGCCTAAAGCATTCACTGAAGCTTTAGCGATAAGCTTTCTACCAGTAGCAACCTTGAACCCACATCATTGACACAGGCCACTCTAGCTGCAAGAGAGGTCTTAATGACATATGGTTTCCCTTTCAGCTACTTGGAACAACTGAGCTCAAAGCAATGACCTCTTATTTTGTTTCTGCAGTGGGGAGAGGGGGTGTTAAAACAATGTTAGATTTCCCTCACCATACAACCCACAAACACATACTCACTCCTTTATGTTCAGTTCTGTGAGGGCTAAAGTTATGCTTCAAGTTTAAATTGCTGTGCCTAAGAGTTCTATAAAGGAGGCTGGAGAGATGGCTCAGTGGTTAAGAGCACTGACTTTTCTGCCAGAGGACCCACGTTCAATTCCCAGCACCCACACGGCAGCTCACAACTGTCTGTAACTCTAGTTCCAGGGAATCCAAAGCTCTTATACATACATGATCGCTAAACACCAATGCAAATAAAATAAAAATAAATATTTTAAAAAAGAGTTCTATAGCCGGGCAGTGGTGGCGCACGCCTTTAATCCCAGCACTCGGGAGGCAGAGGTTCGAGGCCAGCCTGGGCTACCAAGTGAGTTCCAGGAAAGGCGCAAAGCTACACAGAGAAACCCTGTCTCGAACAACCAAAAAAAAAAAAAAAAAAAAAAAAAAAGAGTTCTATAAAACAAAAAAAAAATGCCTCTAGCCTGTGAGCCCCACTTGCCCTAGGATAGATAACTTCCTGGAATGCTGGGGGCTATTGTTCATGTAAGAAAACAAGTCATGTGTTTACACATCTGTAAACAAGCTTGGTTGCTCCAACTGCACAGGATGTGCTTGTGTCAAATGTAGGCAGGAGGCAACAGGTAGGAAGTACATCAGGATGTATGCTTGTCCCTGATTGGACAAAGGCAGGAAGTATGTAGCCTAGTGGGTTTTACCTTTGTATAACATTTGTATTGTCACAACATGGTGATGTATTTTTCAGACAGTAATCTAGTCCAGTGAGGATGTCCAGGGTGAATTATTACGAACATTGCTGTGGTGACTTTAATAAGATGCCTTCATAGTCTGGGATATTGAATACTTGGTCTTCCATTGGTGGCACTGTTTGGGTGGGTTTAGGAGGTGTGGTCTTGCTGGAGGAAGTATGTCACTGAGGGCAGGCTTTGAGAGTTAAATGATTTGTACCATTTCTAGTTTGCTCTGTCTGCTTCTTGCATGAGGTTCAAGATGTTCTCAGCTTGCTAGTCCGGTCACCATGCCTGCCATGCTCCCCACTCTAATGGTGATGAACTCCTGACCCTCTGGAACTGTAAGCCCAAATAAACCCTGCCTTCTGTAAGGTGCCTTGGTCATGGTATTTTATCATAGCAGTAGAAAAGTAACTAATGCAGTTGCTCAGAGAAATGTTACCAGACCCAAGTTCATCTGTTCCATACTTAAAAGCCAATATCCAGGGAATGAGAGCTGGAAGGAAGCCAGGTTTATTTAAGAGTTAGTACTCTGAGAAGATGAGGTTAACTACCTTCCCCCCCACAATTCCATGTTAGGGAACACCAGTGAATGAAAACACTTTCACAAGGAGGGAAAGGAAGTGCAGAGGTCAATGGGCAGAAAAACTAGGTGCCGAGTGGGACTTTTGTTGGCCAGTACTCTTGTACTCTTGTCTTTATTCCCTCTGCCATCACCTTGACCTCCTGCTCATGTAATTCTTTAGATAAACATACTACTTTTCGGAAAATTAAATGTCACGTACAATTATAGATATGATACATATGATATGTCCCACAAAAATTTATATCCATTATATACATATGTGATGTAGATGCAACTCTCTCTTAAGCTCATGTCCATGCTTCAGCGTGTCTTACACTTTCCTTGAGCATCTCTGTTAACCCCTGTGCTGAAAATTCATGTATGAGATGTCTTTTAATAACCCCTTCCTCCACTTCATACTGCTACCCTGAAATCCTCTAAGGGGAAAGAGAACTTCACAAGCGATTGGTGGCAAGGGGGTGTAGCTCTGCCTTCTTCCTTGTTGACACTGCCCAGCCAATCCTGGCTGTTGCACAACAAGACCCAGACATGCAATACTAATTCATTTCAGTAGTCTGCTATTTCGCCAACTTTCAGTTACTTGAAAACCATCGCTTTTCGTACTTGTGCATGTGCACACGTGTGAAATATGTGTCAATCCCACATCTTCCCATTCACTTTACTTATATCAAATGACACAGCACAGTATGATTAGGCCGATCATTAAACTCTCATAATGTTCAAACGTAGTCTTTAAACTAGACTTAGATCTTGAGTTTTTTAATTGCAATCAAAGAAACCAAAGAACCAAACACACACACAAAGAAGAATGCAACACGGCTGGAATATCCTAGAAAAGACAACGCCCCCCCCCCCCCCAACTGGTTATTGGTCTTCTAAGCTTCAATCGGTGAAGGGCAGTTAGAAAACCAAAATGGGACATATCTGCGGTATTAAAATATTGCCAAGCAACAACCATTAGTAACCCTAAACTACCCATACATAGGATTTTGCCTGTATGCCGCAGCAGGTAGCTCAGCCAAGTTGACCAAAGAATCACCCTCCCTGGGCTAGAGGGCGCTCTTTTGCGCTCCCTCCAAACCACGCCCTCCCCGTACGCAGGCGCAAGCCCCGCCCCCTCCGGCCCCGCCCCGCCTCCGCCCCCCGCCCTCCCGTCATGCGCCGCGGTGGTGGCAGTGGCGGTCCCGACTGAGGCGGCGGTATGGAGGGCGAGAGCACGTTGGGGGTGCTGTCTGGCTTCGTGCTCGGCGCGCTCACCTTCCAGCATCTCAACACCGACTCCGACACGGTGAGCCGGCCGGCCGGCCGGGCGCGCGGCTGTGGTCCCGCCGTCCCTGCCCGCAGCTCCCGCTGGCCGTGCGGGGGTCGCGGACCGGGGCGCCCTCCCCGGTTCCTGTCCGGGCCCTTTTTATCTGGTCAAGTTTGGGCGTGAAGGAAAGTTCCGGGCGGCCTCCCGCTCGGCGGGGGACGTTCGGGCCGCCTCCCGCTCTCACTACCCGGTCCTTTGCCAGGGACCCGCGCCGGTCCCTGCCGGCAGCGCGCGTGCGCGGCCACAATCAGGAGGACGGGCCCGGGCGAGGGAGACGCGGCTGGCAGCCGCTGCAGGGACTTAGTTGGCCAACCGGAGTTCTGGGGCTTACGGTGGCTGCTCAAACCTGGCCTGAGATGGTGAGGCCCAGCTACTTTCTCTGCTACAAATGCAAATTTCCGTTACAAATGCAAATTAGTCCTGGGTCAGATGTTATAAGTGCATCTTTAAACTTTTGCCTACTTTCGAAGCCACTGAGTGAAAGTGGAAAAAGAAAAATTGTAAGTCTGCTTTTAAAATTTAGGAGATTAAAAACTCACTGTGAACCGGGAAGCAGAGGCAGGCGGATCTCTGAATTCGAGGCCAGCCTGGTCTGTAGAGCAAGCTCCAGGACAGCTAGGGCTACCCTGTCTCAAAAACAAAACAAAAAACTCACTGTAAAACTTTGAGGTCGGGAAGTAACATCTTGTAATAAATTTTTAGTAACGTAATGAAAGAAACTAGTACTATCTAAAATGAGCTTTGGGGACTGCGCTGAAATAGTTCAGAGAGTATCGTACTGAACAGTGTCGAGTAACGCACGTGAAGTGTTGTGCCCTTAATTTTAAAGCATGAGATCTTCGTTGCCTAAAGTTGCTTTTCAACACAGTCCTAATGATAAGGAATGTACAATAAAGGTTGTAGTTAGTATGTCTAATGTACACTACATCAAATTACATTATAGATTAACACCTAGCAAAGAACAAGTAGATGACATCTTAAAATGTGTGTCGAGCTCACTTGGGCAGCACATAATACTGAGATTAGCATGGCCCTACAGGAGGATGGCATACAAATTTAAGCACTTAATATTTAAAAAAAAATACACGTGTATTTGTGGCACTAATTTTGGAAGATGTTTAGTGTGAACATAGATTGTTCTTAAATCTGTAGTTTGTAAGATTAGCCCTTGTAAACTACATCTTGGTGATAGACCCTAGTTTCTCAGCTACTTTAACTATAGTTTTGTTGTTTAAAGGTGTGTGTGTGTGTTGCCTGCTTGAACATCTGTGGATTACACTAGGGCAGTGCCCGTGAAGGCCAGAAGAGGGCATCAGATCCCCTGGTATTGAATGGTAGAGATGTGGGCACTGGGAACTGAACCCTGTTCCTTGGCAAGAGTAGTCAGTGCTCTTAACCACTGAACCTTCTCTCCAGCTCCTTAACTAAAAATTTTAAGAGTTGTTTTCTGAATAATAGTACTTAGAATTGACTGATATTTTTCCTAGTTTTTGACTTTGGGAGTATCAAAATCGAGAATACTTGCAATTATGGATTTTTACCCACTTGGCTCTTTTAAAAGACGTTGGGAACATTCCTTTTTTATTTACTTTTAATGAAATGAGGGCAAGGCATTATTAACTATTTATTTAATTTGCTTTGTTTTTTTGTTTTTGCTTTTTTTTTTTGAGAGAGGGTTTCTCTGTATCTTTGTATAGTCCTGGCTGTCCTTGAACTTGCTCTGTAGACCAGGCTGACCTCAAACTCACAGAGATCTACCTGCTTCTGCCTCTCAAGTGCTGGAATTAAAGGCGTGCACCACCACCGCCCAGCCATTATTAACTAATTTTAATGAATAGAAAAGTTCACTGTCGGGGCTGGAGTGATGGCTCAGTGGTTAAGAGCACCAACTGCTCTACCAGAGGACCCGGGTTCAATTCCCAGCACCCACATGGCAGCTAACAACTGTCTATAACTCTAAGATCTGACACCCTCACACAGACATACGTGCATACACCAATGCACGTAAAATAAAGATAAATAAATTGTTTAAAAAAAAAAAGTTCACTGTCAAGCACACTTGATCTTTAAGTGCACCTAAAGGAATAACTGAATTTACTGGAATGAAAAAACCTGTATGCCTGTATTTTAAAAGTAACCCCTTGGGAAGCAGATGCTGAAATTGAATTCCACATCTTTACTATTTCATAATTTTTTACACATTTTTAAGTCTGAAAACATTGATCACCGTGTCATCCCATAGCTTAGAAATCACTGACTCCCCCTGTGAGCACCTCACAGACCTCTGTCCCTTAAGTCTTAAATTCCTGTGCTAGACCTGAGTGTTTACTTACTGTCCATACATTAGATGAGGAGATAACTAAGACAAATTCCAGCTACAGTGGGAGCTTGGGCTTCTTGGGGTTTGGTTTTAGATAGGCTGTCAAACTGGCTACCAGCATAACCAAGGGTATGGCCTTCCGTCCCTACCTCCCAGGAGTTGAGGTTATAGGTGTGCCACTAGCTTATTTTAGTCCCCAGTTGTGTCCCTAGAGGTGTGTCTGTCTAGATTGTGTGTGTGCCCAGTGTCTGTCTCTGCCAGTGAATCAGCATGTTGCTCAGCTCCTTCTCCAGCACCAAGTCTGCCTGTGTGCTGCGATCGTCTCTACAGTGGTAATGGACTAGCCCTAAAAGTGTAAGCAAACCTGCTATTAGATGTTTCTTTGAGTTGTGCTGGACATGGTGTCTCTTCACAGCAGTAGACTAAGACAGCCAGCTGGCTGGAGTACAGGAAAGGGCCCGGGGCAAAAACTAAACAGGTGTCCAGAGGGTTTGTCGATACCTGCCTGAGAACTGGTTCTGAGTGGTAACTCAGAGTTAAACTTTTTATTTTATGTGCATGTCTGCATCATGTGCATGCAGTGCCTGCAGAATTCAGACAAAGCCATCCCCTGAATGTGGGTGCTGGGAGTTGAACCAGGGTCCTGTTAACACTGAGCTATCTCCCCAGCCCCCAGGTCAACTTTTAACCCTAGTGTTAAAAGTCAAACTTAATCCTAATGTTTATTTGGGTTGCCACATTAACTCTAAAGATCAATAAAGTCTTCTCTCGGCACTTTGGGAAAGAAAAAAAAAAGAAACCACTGACTCCCAGAAACACATGTAAAGTTCAGGCTCTGGCTGCTCATTTGGGATATTTTGTCATGGGCTTTCCCTTCACAACTGCCCACAGGAGCCTTGAGCTCCAAGACAGACTGCTCTGCTAGGCCCTTCAGAGGTTCTAAGCTTGTCTGCTTTTGACTGACGTGCTTCTAGTGCTGCCTGCCCAGAATGATTATCCGGCCCTTGAAAGTCAGGCTGTCTTCTCCACACAGCCTCTCCGAGTTGTCCACATTTGTATATGTTGTTGGGAACTACTGAGAAAATATGATGAGGAGGCAGAACAGTACCTATCCAGTGTGTTTCATAGACTGCCTCTTGTTTGTTTATTTTTCTCATAGGAAGGTTTTCTTCTCGGGGAAATGAAAGGTGAAGCTAAGAACAGCATTACTGATTCACAAATGGATAATGTTAAAGTCGTTTATACAATTGGTAAGTCACCTAGCTCTGTGTGGTTTTTGGTAGTTTATGTGCTGGCTGTAATCAGCATAATTGTGACTACTTTTTTTGTAACATTTTAATTGCTGTGGGTGATACATGTGTCATGCATAACTGCTAGAATAGGTTCTCTCCTTTCATCATGTGGGTTCCAGGGATTGAACTGAGTCGGTCAAGCTTGTCAGCTGGTTCCTTTCCCTGCTGAGCCATCTTGCTGTGTGTGTGTGTTTAAACTATTAAAATATATGAGTGGGTATACTGGTGCACACTTGTAATCCCTGCACCTAGAAGGTGGAGGCAAGAGGATCAGAAGTTGGGTCCTATGTGTTTGTCTTTGTCTAGTGAATAGAACATGTAGTTCCAAGTGGGACTCCAGGTAGGGTTTTTAGCCCTGTGTCACTGGGGAGTCACGTGATTCCTCTTTGCTCATTCACCTTTGAAATAGTAAGAGTGGTTTGTCTTAGGGGTGTGTCTGAAGAGTAAATGAAGAACTGTGCACATAGTGAAGCCAGGAGCATGAGGTAAACGCCTCAGTGTGGTGGGCAAACGATTACTATACCCATAATAACCTGAAATCCTTTTTTTCTAGACATTCAGAAATATATTCCATGCTACCGGCTTTTTAGGTGAGTAACAGTATTAGTAAGAACAAGTAAATTACCCATTATGAAAATAATTCTTTTTAAGTTAAGTAATTGAAAACACATACAGAGTGTCTTAGTACCAGTTGTACATGGAAGGAGGTTTGTCGTTTGTTTGAAGGTACACTGGTGCATGTCAACCCCGTCTGTGATTTTTCATTTGCCTTCCCTTTAGTTGGTTTCTGCTTCCTCTGAAAAGCCGGTTTACTTTGAGGGTTGCATCTTCTCACCCAGTCCTCTCATTTCTTATTGTATTCGCATGTGTCAGTTACAGTCGTTTTTTCCATCTTTGGATTCCGATTTATTAATCGCTTCTCTCTTTTTGTTACCAATTATATTCTTTAACCTGTTTGCTGTTGCATTTCTCTAGTGAAAGTTTACCCCTCGGTTTGACAGATGGTAGCAGAACTGCTGCTGTTAGTATCCTGCATTTTCCTACTGTCTTAGTGAGTTAGCATTCATAGAAAAATACAAACAAAACATTTTCCCCAAGCAAACAAATGTAACGATAGTATAGTGTCATTTTAAAGTCTCGTTTATGATTTATATCAGCCGCACAGGAAGCTAATCACTATCTTACACTCACACTTCACACACTCTTTGTGGACATCTTTAAGACTGTGTGCGTTACAGGGGCATGCCCAATAAAGAAGGCTCTGAGGTGGGGAGAGGGTGTGACCCAGCAGCCCGGCATGCTCTTACCCGAGCACCAGGAAAAGTGAGTCTTCTGTAGTCCTTTACGTACAGTGAACATACAAACCATTTGTTAAATGATGACTTCTTCATGGGACCTCATAAAAATGACTTCTTGAGGGGCCTCTGGACCAGCGAAGGATTAAGAGACAATGAAAGGTGAATCAGTCATTCTGGATGACTCCATTAAGAATTAGACCAATTTAGCCGGGCGGTGGTGGCGCACGCCTTTAATCCCAGCACTCGGGAGGCAGAGGCAGGCGGATCTCTGTGAGTTCGAGGCCAGCCTGGTCTCCAAAGCGAGTTCCAGGAAAGGCGCAAAGCTACACAGAGAAACCCTGTCTCGAAAAAACAAAAAAAAAAACAAAAAAAAAAAAAAAAAAAGAATTAGACCAATTTAGTAGGGTCTGAGCTGCAGAGACCACCATCTACTAATGTCTGGGCCTTGTCAGCACTTAAGTTGAAGGTAAAGAGGACATGAGTAGAGCTGTCTGGAAATATCTCTCCTTCACAAAGTTTATATACCCTTCATCTTCAATTAAAACCAGAATAGGCCACAGTTCATGATTTAGTGGGAAACACAGACCTGCTTAATGCAATGGTTCTCAACCTGTCGGTCGCAACCCCTTTGGGGGTTGAATGACCCTTTTACAAGGGTCATCTAAGACCATCAGAAAACACAGGTATTTACATTGCAATTCATAATAGTAGTAAGATTACAGTTAAGAAGTAGCAACAGAAATCATTTTATGGTTGAGGTCACCATGACATGAGGAACTGTGTTAAAGGGTCGCAGCATTAGGAAGGTTGAGAAGCACTGACTTAATGGTAGGACAGAACAGGAAGAAATGGCATTTCTTTTTAATGGTTGTGTGTGTGGTGTTGGGGATGCTGCTGAGCAAGTTTCTGCTAAGCCCCAGCCTCTAGGCTTTCTAACAACCTGTCATGTCGGGGCTTCCCGCTTATAGATCACATAGGTGAGTCTATTTAAAACAGTCTTCTGATGACATCTCTTGAAGTCCAAGTTAGATAAGCATTAATACCCAGCTTTATAATTCACAAGGGTTGTCAAAATATAACCCTGTGAGTGGTTTTTATACAGCCCTTCATCTCAGAATGTCATTATATTTTAAAGGTTGTGGGCAAAGTAAGAGAAAGAGCACACATAGGAAGCGGACATGCGTGGAAAGGCTTGAAATGTTTTGACTGGCAGACAAACTGTACCAGCTCTGGACTAACTATAGTGCTGCTTAGACATTTCAGCTGAATACACTGATTGGCTCTTTCAGAAGTCTAGAAAGTCTTTGAAAATAGGTCAGTGAACCCTAAAACTTAATAACTTAGAAATTAGGCACTTAAGTGTGCATTCTTTACTGTCTATCCTTCTGGGGAGTTGGGAGACAACACAGGCTCTCTATATGTAGCCCAGGCTGGCCTGAAATCCAGATTCTCCTGTCTCAGCCTTTCAAGTGTTAGATTATAGGCACGTGTCACCACACCTGGCTTATTATGTTTTCATATAAAACTCTTTCTAGAATCTTGACATAAAATCAGCATTCTTACGCCTCTGTACTATTAGCCTATGCTTATGTACCCTAAGGTACTCTGTTCTCACACATCTGTACTATTAGCCTATGCTTATGTACCCTGAGGTACTCTGTTCTCACCCGTCTGTACTATTAGCCTGTGCTTATGTACCCTGAGGTACTCTGTTCTCACACATCTGTACTATTAGCCTGTGCTTATGTACCCTGAGGTACTCTGTTCTCACACATCTGTACTATTAGCCTGTGCTTATATACCCTGAGGTACTCTGTTCTCACACATCTGTACTATTAGCCTATGCTGACACGGTCTGGGGGAGGCCAGCTCCCGAGAACTGCTCCAGGGTTATGAATAGAAGACTTCAGAGTAGTGAGGACTTTTTATCTGAAGGTATTTAGAAATAAGTTTCTATCTATCTGACAGGTAAATAAGGAAACGCACATGCTTTCTGATGGTAACTTTCTCTTTTACTTCATCTTAAAAAATCCTCGCCGGGTGGTCGTGGTGCACGCCTGTAATCCCAGCACTCGGGAGGCAGAGGCAGGTGGATCTCTGTGAGTTCAAGGCCAGCCTGGGCTACAGAGTGAGTTCCAGGAAAGGCACAAAGCCACACAGAGAAACCCTGTCTCGAAAAACCAAAAAAAAAAAAAAGTCCCCTGAAAACCTCTCTTGCTCTCTCTCTTGCCTAGCTACCCATATTCTTTCCTCAGTTCCCCATGCACACCCCCCACACTCTAACACACACTGACAGCAACTCTTTGCAAAGCTCCTCTACATAGCAGCAGCTCTTTTCACACAGTCCCCCTCACATCTCTTTACATACAGCTATAAATTTCTCTACTCGGTTACATTCCTTCACACACTGTGGCATCATTCATTCACTCTTTACTCATTCCCTCTCATTCATTCACTCTCTCACCTGACTCTCACATTTCTTCTTCTCTACCCAGCTTTGGACAGTTCTATGTTACATTTTCTTTCTGCCCATTCAGCCGCATCCCTCACTCAGCATGCACACCTACACACACTCATACGCTCAATACTCTGGACTGTTACATGTTACATTGTCAGGGTCTGACCCATGCTCATAACACATGATAAGTCACACAGTTTCTCTCAGGCTGGGAAGGTCGCGCTGACCAGCCAGTGAGTAAAGCGTGGCCATGCGTGTGGCTCTAAGTTGATGAGAGGTCTCAGACAAAAAGTAAACAGTTGGCTGAACCTTGAGCCTGTAACACAAACTGAGGCTGGGACTATGTGCAAAAAGTCAATTACTGGAAGCTGGAGAGATGGTTCAGCGGTTAAGGGCACTGGCTGTTCTTCCAGAGGACCTGAGTTCAATTTCCAGCAACCACATGGTGGCTCACAACCATCCATAATGAGATCTGGCACCCTCTTCTGGTCTGCAGGCAGACATGCAGGCAGAACACTGTATACGTAATAAATAATCTAAAAAACGTCAATTACTATAGAGGGTTATGTGTACCAAAGTTGCTTCAAGCCTGACCTTGATTTAGTAATACTGGGATCTTGTCTTTGTATATTTTGTACAGGGGCAACTTAGACTGTTTTTGAATTAGTTCTGAAGTCTAAAATTAGCCGACTTTGTGACTGAGAATGCTGTTATTTTGCTATGTCAGTTATGAAATATTCTAGTATTATCAGAATTGTACAACTTAAGCAGAAACCATCTTCCTGACCATCCATAGCTATATGCACAAAGATGTAAAGTGCACTACCACTGGGCTGTGGAAAGAACCCTACAGCTGTACTTTCAGGGAGGTATAGTGGGGGCACAGGAGAAAGTTACAGACAGGAAACAACCGGTTTCCACAGCCAGTGACCCCACGACTTTGCTAGGTGGGGCTCCCCATGAGGTGGGTCTGGTGGGTCGACCTGTTAATACTAGTTGTCACCTGTTATATACTCCCTCAGCCTCTGGTAAAGCCATTGCTACCAGCAGCTCTCAGCACTATACTTCCATACCCTGAGGTACTCAGTGTTCTCACACATCTGTACTAATAGCCTGTGCTTATGTACCCTGAGGTACTCAGTGTTCTCACACATCTGTACTAATAGCCTGTGCTTATGTACCCTGAGGTACTCAGTGTTGTTACGCGTCTGTACTATTAGCCTGTGTTTATGTACCCTGAGGTACTCGCTGTTCTCACCCGTCTATACTATTAGCCTATGCTTATATACCCTGAGGTACTCTGTTCTCACCCGTCTGTACTATTAGCCTGTGCTTATGTACCCTGAGGTACTCTGTTCTCACCCGTCTGTACTATTAGCCTGTGCTTATGTACCCTGAGGTACTCTGTTCTCACACATCTGTACTATTAGCCTATGCTTATGTACCCTGAGGTACTCGCTGTTCTCACCCGTCTATACTATTAGCCTATGCTTATATACCCTGAGGTACTCAGTGTTCTCGCACATCTGCACTATTAGCCTATGCTTATGTACCCTGAGGTACTCAGTGTTCTCACCCGTCTGTACTATTAGGCTATGCTTATGTACCCTGAGGTACTCTGTTCTCACCCGTCTGTACTATTAGCCTGTGCTTATATACCCTGAGGTACTCTGTTCTCACCCGTCTGTACTATTAGCCTATGCTTATATACCCTGAGGTACTTAGTGCCTTAGGACCAGGTTGAGTCGCTTAGAAGTGAACCATGCTAGAGAAATACAGCAATAAAAATCTTTTTCTTCCTTTTTCTCTCCTCTGTCCTTCTCTTCTCCTTCTCTGTCCCCTTCTTCTCTGAGGGTTGAACCCAGGAACTGGGCATAGGTTTCTGGACTTGTTATGATTTCAGTCTTTATCCAAGTCACTAATGTCATAGCAGATGTCCTTCAATGAACCCAGCTACCCCTCAGCCCATTAAAACTTTTTTAATGGAGGCTACTTGTTGTGTTTTCCCTGTGGTCCTGGAGATTGAACCGAGGGCTTTACTCATACTGGGTTAACCTGTAATCTCAGTTGTTTCTTTATCTATTTGAGACATCGTCTTACTAAGTTGCTGGCCTTAAACTCACTCTTGTAGCTTAGGCAGAACTGGAGATTCTCTTCCTTTAACCTGTTGCCTTAATCCTGGTCGGATTTATAGGCTTGTACCACCAAGCTCAGTTTAAAAATGTTGCCAAATAGAGTATAGTTGGTCAGTTTTATGTAATAAATATTTCCAGTATATACTTGAGGATTTCCATTAAAAAACAAAAAAACTATAGAATCCTATAGGATTTTGTTTATCATTTCAGCATTGTAAAAAGGAATGTCGTCCATCTTAATGCTAAAAGGAAGGACTAGGACTGAGGGTGGCTTCATTGTTAAGCTACCTGCTACACAAGAGTGAAGACCTGGGTTTGGATCCCCAGAACCGTGTCAAAGCTCCATGCATCTAGAACCCTAGTGTCAGGGAGGAGGGCAGAGAGAGGTGACAGGAAGATCCCTAGGGTGCATTGGCCACTGACTAGCCAAATCTATGAGCTCCAGGTCCAGAGTGAGCAAGGAAAACAGCATCACCCTTTGACTTTTGTGTGCGTGTGCACCTGATTGCCTATGTGCACACACATAAACTGCACATAACTACATAAACTACAGGGAAGGAACTATGACTGGGAGTCTCTCACAGGAAGAGAAAGCAAAGCTAGAAGTAAATGTGTGCGTTGTCCAGACTTCTTCTTCTTCTATAGCTGGGAAGTCCAACGACAAAGCATTCATCCTCTCCTCCCCAGTCTCCCCAGATGCCCTAAACACACAGCTTTTGGGATTAACAATGAATAAGTTAACCCTCTGTTACTGCTCTTCATTACTATCTATTCCAACAGGGGTTATCAATTATTAAGAAGTGAACTGGCAATATGAACTTTCTGGTACTTGCATTTAATGAATAGTTTATTGTTCTGTTTTAGTTTGAAAGTATGATAAAGTCATACCTAGTCTTTTATGTTGTTGTTTTTGCTTATGGACCTAATGTTTCTGCCATTTAAGTGTTAATTTTTTATTTTTCTCTACTGTTTATTTTAGGAGTTCATATGATAGGCAAGTAGATATGCATTTTGGTTGTATAGTAATGGGTTAGGAGTAACATTTAAAATGCTAATAAAATTATTCAAATTTCTAGCTTACTTGAAATCTCTTTAATTTTGATTTTTATAGCTTTTATAATTCTTCAGGTGAAGTAAACGAACACGCACTGAAGAAAATTCTTTCAAATGTCAAAAAGGTATTATCCTTTCTTTGTTAGTACTGTTTGCACTATTTTGCGATCCTAAAAACAGAGTACTTTTACAGAAGCCTTAAGTGGTATTAGTGGTATTCATTAGAGCATATAAGACTTATTCTTCCCAGAAATTCAGCAATGTTTCTCTAAAAGCAAAACTAGTCATTGAAAGTGTCTGTCTTGGGGCTATAGAGAGTGCTCAGTGGTTAAGAGCACTGGCTGTTCTTCAGAGGACTTGGGTTCAGTTCCCAGCACCCACATGGCAGCTCACAGCCAGATGTAGATCCAGTCCTAAGAGATACGATCCCTTCTTCTGTCCTGTGTGAACACCTGCATGCACATGGTACACAGACATACAAGCTGGCAAAACACTTCCTGCATATAAAATAAAATGGGAAAAGACAGTATCCATCTTACTATTTCCTTGACTACTATGATTTCCATAGACTTCTCTGTGGTTTATTGCTTAACCACAGTCTTTGCCAGTCTGATTTATTCTAGAACATAACTCATTTCTGTTATTTTCACAGAGCTGCAATCTTTGTTTTGTTTTGTTTTCTGGTCTCAAACTGCTGTAGTAAGTGGCTGGGACTTCAGGTGTGTGTCACAGAGCCTGGCTTTGCAGTTACTATTTTATATAAATGCAGAGACAGCTTCCTATACAGCAGTTACATTTAAATCCTCCATGTACTTGGTCTTCAGATAAAGTTATTCAACAGTCAAAATGCCTCCCCCCCCCATAAAAGGTATGCATTTTTGTCTTCAAAATTTTATAAAAGTAGATTTCAGGAATAGTTTTGGTCACTGGGGATGGTGGCACACATCTCTGATTTTAGAATGAAAGTAGATTTAATAATAGAAGTGTCTTTTAGATACTGAGTGTATACATGTTATCCTAAGTATGTGGGGAGCCAAGGTGGGAGGATTTCAAGTTTGAGGCCCACCTAGGCAGCCTCGTGAATCCTGACACAGGCTGTGGCTGTAGCTCTGGTGATTGTCTGCCTCAGATAAGGTTCTGGGTTCAATTCCCTAGCACTAAAGCATGAGGCACGACAGTCGGAGGTCAGTCTGTGGAAACTGTATGGTGGAGAGAGAGAACAGTAGGCTGTCCTGAGCTCTCCATGGGTAGAAGACTTATGTACATACACACATGCACACACACACACATACATAAAGTGTAAAATTGTTTTAAAGGAAATGGTTGAACTTAAAAAAATTATATTGGGGGCCAGCAAGATATTGAGGTGGGAAAATGCACCGGCTGTTAACCTGGATGCGCTGAGTTTTGTTTTTGAGACATGGCCTCACTCTGTAGCCCACTATGTCTTTGAACTTGTTATCCTCCTCAGCCTTCCAGATGCAGAGATTAGAGGTATAAGAGCCATTTCTAATTTCTTCACTTTGATGTGCAAATAAATATATAGTGTTTTTTTTTATTATAAGTCAGTAATGAGAATTATTTTCCAGTCTAAAACAGTTCTTACTATTAATCATGAATCTTTTGCATGTTACAGATTACAAAAACCTTTCATAGGATCTTAAAATTTTTTAAAACAGCTTAACATTTACGAATCAAGCATGTACATAGGACATAAATGTGTTTCCAGGCAGTGATTCCTGGTATGTAAAACAATGGCGTTGGTGTTCTAACAGAAGATGGTAATTGCAAGATAGCAAATGTTTTGCTTTGTTGTTAAATTAGAGTAGGAACTGGGGGGATAGCTCAGTTGGTAAAGTACTTATCTAAAGACCTGGGTTCCACATTTTAAAAAATGTGGAGCACATTAAAAAAACAAGAAGAAGAAGAAAAAACAAACAAAACCAGGTATGGTGGCACATACCAGTACTAGAGAAGGGAGCAGGAGGATCAGAATTTCAGGGTCGTCCTTGGCTATATATGGAGCTTGGGGCCAGCCTGAGGCACACAAGACCCAGTTTACAAAACAAAAAAAACCAAAACAACAACAACAACAACAAAAACCCAGTAAGTCAAGAAGGTTTTTTGGGGGATGGGTTGTCTTGGTGTCTTGGGACTTTTTTGTTTGTTTTTGTTGTTTTGGTTTTCAAGACAGGGTTTCTCTGTGTAGCCCTGGCCATCCTAGAACTCGTTTTTTAGACCAGGCTGGCCTCGAACTCAGAAAGATCTGCCTTCCCCTGCTTCTCGAGTACTGGGATTAAAAGTGTGCCCCACCACCGCTTAACAAGAAGGTTGTTCTGTTTTATTTTTCTGCATTAAAATTGTAGGGATTTTGCTAAGTGGAAAGTAACTATGTCAGTTTGTTTACTTTATAAAAGTAAAGTATATAAGTAGGTATATTCTTGACTTATTATAACGCAAACTTTACCAACAGTTGGAAAACCATTTTAAGTTCTGCAGGTTTTGCCAGGCTTAGTGGTGATGGCTTTAAACCCATCCTAGGAAGGCCTGGTCTACAGAGCAAGTTCTGGGACAGCTAGGGCTACACCACAGTCCTGCTGCCTCCGTCTCGAGTGCTGGAGCCATTGGGTATACTGCAATTACTGCCTCAAGACCATCAGTTTTATTGCTAAGCTGTAAGAAGACATGTAATAATTGTAAGCAACATACATTTAATTTTTCCCATATCTCTTCAGACTGTGGTGGGTTGGTACAAATTCCGTCGTCACTCGGATCAGATAATGACGTTTAGAGAGCAGTTGCTGCACAGAAACTTACAGACGCATCTTTCAAGCCCAGAGCTTGTTTTTCTGCTGTTAACACCAAGTATTGCAACAGAAAGCTGTTCCACTCACTGCCTGGAGCACGCCTTATATAAACCTCAGACGGGGTAAGCATTGCTTAGTTCTGGCTGGTTTAAACTAGTAGAAAAACACTAGCGGTTTTATAGTGCTTTGTGGCTCTAAGTGTTTTCATACAGTGTTGCCAAAGGTGTCCCAATAGCGACAAAGTAAGTCTGTTAGTAATAGATGAGAAAACAAAGGCTAGGCAAGGAGGTGGAAGCCTGGGTGCAGCATGACTTGGACTCTTGTGTCCTGGGACGGGAAGTGTTACTGTCGTACTTATTTAAGTGTGGACTGGAACAAATTCTTCAGAGACAGCACTTATTGATGGTCTGCTGCAGTGAGTTCAGGCAGTCACCTTGGGTATTATAAATTTCTTTCTCTGTGAACATAAGAATTAAGTTAAAAGAGTACTACCAATTAAAATTACTTTTATTGCTTATGGAAGATAAATCTCAACATAATACCTTAAAATTGAATATCACTTATCTTAGACCCTTAGGATTAGACAGAACCAGACACTTCGTTCAGAATTTAGAGTTTTTGCATATACCCACTGAGATACCTTGGTAGTGGGGCAGACTCAAATATAAACAAAAAGTTCATTTATACCCTATAAATATAACCAAGTAAATTTTTTAAACAATATTGCAAATGGTTTTTGATTGTTTGCTTGTTTTTGTTTTGTTTTTTTTTAGACAGTGTGTAGCCTGGGCTGGTCATGAACTTGAGGTCTTGCTGCTCAAGTCTCCCTAGTGCTAGGATTATAGATAATAGGTTGTCATACAAGACTTGGAACATGTGTTTGTACTGATCTGTCACATGAAAGTCAGACAGGAAATCGTCCATTTGTTTTCACTATGTTTCCTTGAGACAGCATCACTGTGTAAACTGAGCTGGATAAGAAGTTGACAGATGAGCCTGTCTGACTTTGAACTCACAATCTTCCTGCCTTAGCACTTCAAGAAATTTTCTGTATGACAGTGTTTACAAGTTTTCACATTTTAAGCTATCTGTGGTGGTGCACACTTTTAATCCCAGTAAGTGGAAACAGGGTTGAGAGTCTGAGGTCAGTTTAGGTTACATAATAAGATCCTATCTCAAATTTCAAACTTTTGGACTAGGGATGCTTAACCTGTTCTGCCTTTTTGGTGGGTTGAGGACACAGAATGCAGGAGTTACACCGGGCAGACGAGCGGCCCCTCCGCTGAACTTCATCTCCAACATTTCTTTTCCTTCCTTTAACGGTCTCAGGCAGGCATGGTGGTGCATCCCCATAATCCTGTGCTTGAGTGGGAGCAGGACTGTGAGTTCAAGGTTATGCTCAGCTACATAGAGCTAGAAAGTAGGTCGGACTACCTGAAACCATGAGTCAAAAATAAAATATAAAGACCGTGAAATGGCCCAGCTGGTAAAAATGTTTGTCCCACAAGCCTGAAGCCCTGGGTTCTATCCCCAGAACCTTCACTAGAAGAAAAGAACCAACTTCTGACTCACGGACATTATAAACATACACACAGTAATAATAAATGAGCAGCAACAAAAAACTCAGGTGTCACCTATATTGCCTATCATGGCCCTTCAACTCGGGAGTCTGCTCAGTCTTCTTGGGTAGCTTCTCCTTAGCTTACATGTACATGACCAGGTGAAGCAGCCATGAAACCGTTTTCATACAACTTTTTATGCTATGTACATCTTCACTGTCTTGTTTTGTGTTTTGAGACAGGGTTTCTCTGCAGCCCTGTTGTCCTGGAACTCTCTGTAGACCACTTCAGCCTCAAAGTATGCCTGCCTCTTGCTCCTGAGTGACACCTTTTAAAAGCTAGTTGCTTCAGGAGCTAGAGAGGGCTCGGCATTTAACACTGGCTGCTCTTCAGAGGACTCAGGTTCAATTCCTAGCACCCACATGACAGCTCCCAACCATCTGTAAACTCTAGTGTCAGGGAGACGTATACTTTTCTGGCCTCCAAGGGCACTAGTGGTACATGGATATACATGCAGACAAAACACCCATACACATAAAATAATGAAGCAAAAAACTAGTTGCTTTAACTTAGCTTATCCAGGAAAATTCTATCATGCTAAATAATAATGGGGAGTTGTTTTTATTTTAATACTGTTAGGAAAGCAGCATGCTCTGATGATAGATGTTGTCCTTTTATTTTAAATTCAGTTTTAAACTTTTTTCATCAGGCTTTTTCATAGAGTACCTTTGGTGGTTGCCAATCTGGGAATGTCTGATCAACTGGGTTATAAAACAGAATCTGCTTCCTGTACGTCCACTGGCTTTAGCAGAGCAGTGAGAACACACAGGTAAGAGTCTTATTCAGGGGCTGGAGAGATGGCTCAGAGGTTAAGAGCACTGCTTGTCCTTCCAGAGCTTCTGAGTTCAATTCCCAGCAACCACATGGTGGCTCACAGCCATTTGTGATGAGATCTGGTGCCCTCTTCTGGTCTGAGGGTGTACATGCAGACAGACACTGTGTACATAATAAATAAATAAATCTTTAAAAACAAAGAGTCTTATTCAGACAGTGAAGACTAAACGAATCCTGGTGGAACTGGAGTATTGTCACCGTTGTTCCATACTTCCTTTTAGACTTGTCTGCTTAAAGTTCTATGCATTTACCCAAGGACAATCATCTTTTTTTTTTTAATAGTTCTCAGTTTTTTAATGAAGATGGATCGTTAAAGGAGGTGCATAAGATAAATGAAATGTACGCTGCTATACAAGAAGAATTGAAGGTAACTTAGGGACCACTTCAGAGTTCACCTCAGTAGATTGCTATGAATTGTTTCAGAGAAAAATTAACATTTTTTGAGTATATGTTGTATTCCTTTGACTTTCATAATAGAGACTACCACCTCTGGGGGATAGCTATACAAGTTTAATTTTGCTCAGTATATCATGACTATAACTACTTCTTTTCTTTTTTTGAAAAATGATTTCACTATGGAGCCCTGGCTGTCCTGGAACTTGCTATATAGTCGACCAAGCTGTCCTTGAACTTAAAATGGCTCTCCTGGGATTAAAGGCATGTGCCACCAGGCCCAGCCCTCAGTCTTTGAAGACGAAGAGGGAAGCAGATATTTAGAAGCACAGCCACACTCCAGCATTCTAGTCTGGAGTCCTAGGATGGATCCCAAATGCAGGAGAGTCATTGGGTCAGTGTAAATAAATTGGAGGGATTGAGGACTACAGCAGAATCTGACTCCAGGGAGGTGGAGAGAACAGCTGGTCAAGAGGAGTTTCGGGTGTACTGTTCGATAAAAGCTTACCTGAGCATAACCTTGACTCGGAATCTGCTCTCACCTCAGCATGAGCATTACAGGGATTGCACCACTGTGCCTGACTGAGAGAGAATCTTTCTTAAAAGGAGAAATTGTTAAATCCTTAATTGGACAAAGTGACTCAAAGTTGTCCATAGGCATAATAATGTCCTCACCTGCTCAGTCATGGCTAGGAGCAGTCCTTGGGGGATACTGCTTAAAAGAAAGCACTGGGGCTCAGTGGTAGAACACTTGCCTGGAACTCAAAAAGCTCCGAGTTTGATCCCCAGCACTACACGATGGTGTACGTCTGTAACTTGAGCACTGGGGAGGTAAAGGCAGGAAGATGAGAAGTTCAAGGTCATCCTTGGCTGCATACTAAATCTAAGGCCAGTCTGGGACACATGAGGCTTTGTCTAATAAATTGTGAAACCATGAGTCTAAAACTGGAAACATTGGTCACTTGTTTTCCTCAGTTGGATATCTAAAGCCTGTTTCCATGGCAGCCACACTTGTCAGTAGAGCATAGAAATAAAAAAAAAAAAAAGGTTAACACTTGTATACTACAGACATTATATATTATTTTTTAAAGACTTATTTTGATGTGATTCATTTTTTGCCTTGATGTCTTGTGTGTGTCTACTGCCCTCGAAGGCCAGAAGAGAGCATTTGTTCCCCTGGATTTAGAGTTACAACAGTTGTGAGCTGCCATGTGAGTGCTAGAAAACTAAATCAGATCCCCTTAACTGCTGAGCCATCTCTCTAACCCTCACATACTAATTTTTGTAATGAATAAATAACACAGAAACTTTGAAAATAACACTGAGAATGTCACCATTTTATTTAAGTAAATTTTTTATTGAAAGTAAATATTTCCCTCATATAATATGTCTTGATTATAGTTTCCCCTCACTCTACTCTTCCCAGAACCTCTCCACCTCCCCTTCCATCCAAATCTACTCCTTTTGGTCTCATTAGAAAACAAACAAGTAAGCCTTGGTGTCACATACCTTCAGTTCCAGCATTTAGGAGGCAGATGCAGGCAGATCTTAGAGTTCAAGGCCAACCTTGAAGTTCTAGGTCAACTGGGACTACACAAAAAAACCATCTGGGGTGGGGGAAGAAAAGAAAGGAAGGAAAGAAAGAAAAAACAGGCTTCTAAAGGATTATAATAAAATATAATACAACAAAAACAACACATCAGAGTTGGAGGAAACAGAAGGAAAAGGCCTAACAGAAGGTCCAGGAAACGCAACCCACTCCTTCTCACATTCAGAGATCTACAAAACCACTAAACTGGAAGCCATAACAGACATACAGAGGACCTGGCAGACCCGGGCAGGCCCTCTGCATGCTACCTGAGTCTGAGTTCATGGAGCTTTGATCCTGCTGATTCAGAGGGCCTGTGTTCTTGGCATCCTCCATTCCTTCTGTCTGACATTCTCTCCCTGCCTCTTTCATAGAGCTCCCTGAGCTCTGGGGAGGGGTTGATAGACATACCATTTAGGACTAAATGTTCCAAGACTGTAGGTCTCTGTTATTTGTTCCCTTCTGCTGTGGGAAGAAACCAAGTAGCTTTGTTTGTTTGTAGACAGGGTCTCACTATGTAGCCATGGCTAGCCTGAATTAAGTGGAACAGGCAGGACTAGAAGTCACTGAGATCCACCTGCCTCTGCCTCCCAAGTGCTGGGAGGCCGCTGAGAATGTCGCCATTTTCAAGTGATTATTATTTTTATTTTGCCATTTCTCAAGTTTTCCCCCAACACATAAATACCGACATACTTGACAGTGATGACAACAGGAATTTGTATCGTGATTTCAATGGATGTGTCATTAAACATTTTCACTTTGCCACAAAATCTTTTATTTTTAATGCACTATGTTCTTAAATTTTAAATTGACAGGTAAAACTCTCAGGTAAAGCCACGTGTAATGCACACCTGCCACTCTAGCAGTGTGGAGGTGGAGGCAAGAGGATCAGGAGTTCAGTGCCATCCTCAGCAACACAGTAAGTTTGAGGCTAGCCTGGGCTACATGAGACCCTGTATAAAAAGGGGAAAACCTTTTGTAAAGTGTGTGTGTGTGTGTGTGTGTGTGTGTGTGTGTGATAGAAGGGTTATATCTAGAAAAATCACAAATGCCTTGTGTCAGCATCTTTGTGGTTAGAACACTCAGCACTCACGCTCTCTTCTCCAAGTAGATCATTTTTAGCTTTTCTCTCTCAGTGCCATACTTCTTTACTCATTTATCCTTCAGTGAACATTGGTAATGGTTCGATTATTTGAGTATTCTGGGCAAATACCATAAAAAGTATCCACTACAATTGGCCATATTAAATTCTGACCTTTATTTTGAAATTAATGATGATTGATTTAACAGTAAGAAACATCATTATCCTATATAAGCTTTTGTTAGGTATATTTCCAAAATGAAATTACTCATTCTTTTAAAATTGAGACACATAGCATCAGTTTGCTTTTCAAATACAGCCTCTCTTACAGAAATTGTAGTCTTCTGTGATTTTCTTAAAACAAAAACATAGTCGCTTTTTACTTACTTTAGTGTGGATTGGGGGGGGGGGGCCGCATATAATGATACAGGCTCAGAGGTAAGAGCACTGGTGCTCTTCCAGAGGTCCTGAATTCAATTCCCAGCAACCACATGGTGGCTCACAACCATTTGTAATGAGATCTGGGCCCTCTTCTGGCCTGCAGGGATACATGCAGACAGAACACTCTATACATAATAAATAAATAAATCTTTAAAAAAAAAAAAAAAAGACACAGGCTCTTATGCAGCCCTGGCTAACCTTGAACTCCCTATAGATAAGGATAACCGTTAATTGCTAATCCTATTTCCACATCCCAAATGCCAGAATCACAGTTCTGTTGGGGGTGGGGCACATGTTGGGACTTGAACCTGGGCTACACACATTCTAGGTAAGTGCTGTACACTGAGCTCTAACCTTAGCCCAATACATTTTTTTTTTTTAATTTCAAAATGAATTTTACCTTAGGTCTGTTATCAATGAAATAGCTGGCCCACAAATAAATGGGAAGCTAACACATCTAAGAAGCACGTCGTTATCTACAGAACAACATCAAATGCGTGTTACTAAGGTGGTTTACACAAAAGGTTAATGGTATTTTATGGTCTGAGAATCTTATTTTGTAAGTCCTCATTAGCACAAACCTGGAATGTTTTATCTGTGCCCTTGTTTTATTGTGCAGAGTATATGCCAAAAAGTTGAACAAAGTGAACGAGAAGTGGAGAAACTAATGCTGGATGTAAACCGACTAAAAGAAGTTAGAAAAGAACAGCAAGCGCAGATTAAAGCAGCGGGTAAGCAGCGAACGGACTGCAGATGCTGCCTTCACATCTGCACAAGCCAGCGTCCTGACCCACAACCCATGCGCTGGGCACAAGTAGTGATCACACTGCTACCTAGTGGGCGTGCTGTGTCGGATGAAAAAGCAGACTGATTTTTCATAGAATAGCTTTGCACATAAACAGGAATTTAGCGTTATGTCATTCTTATTCTGAATAATCCATCTTTTGGAATCGTTTTTACTTTATTGACACAGCTAATTATAAAAGATTGTGAAACAAGCACATGTTAAGCTCTTTCTTGTTCTCTCTAGGAGAGAAGAATGTCCAAAACAACCCCCAGGAGAACATTCTTCTTTGTCAAGCTTTACGAACCTTTTTCCCAGAGTCTGAAGTTCTTCATTCTTGTGTTATTTCTTTGAAAAATAGACATATTTCTCAAAGTGGATGTAACACGAACCACCATCTTGATGTGGCAAAGCTGACCTTAATGGTGGAGTATGTTCACAGCCCGGACACTAGTCCAGCCCCTGCAGCCCAGCTGACTAAGCGTAAAGCTCTAGACACGCAGGACCCATGGCCTGTGAAGAAACCGCGACTGCTGGAGACAGAAAGCAGACCTGGGACAGACTCTCGAAGCAGTCACCCAAACAGAACGTCCTCAGGCAGCCTGGATCTGGACACAGAGATGGGGAGCACGGAGGAGGATGGGGACTATCCTCGCTCTCCCACGTTTTGATTCTTGTTAGATGATAGTTTTGACTTGATGAGGTTCAGACCACTTTTTTCTTCTATTTTTACTGTCTGCCTACTGGAGTAACACATAAAGTCCATGTTTTACTGTATTCGACTGTCCATAATGTGTAAATAAGGTATTTTTACTGCTCAACCGTTTATAATATGTAGGTAAGTTAATGTTTTATAAAGTATCTTAGAAATTCCTGTTTGTATCTAGTACTTTGTAAATGTGCACAGGTTCAGCTCAGGTGCAGCCTCCTCCTCACTTCCTAGCCTCCTCTCTCTGTGCCCTCTGCTGCAGTGGTCCTCCCTCCCTTTTATGTCTGTGTTCTGTTGTCTTCCTTGCCCCTGTAGATTCTTTCTCTCCCATCTCATGACCCCTGTCTAGTGTCTTTAGCCTCTGTCCATCCACATTGAAGTACGTTTTAGAAATGGAGAATGTTTGCCTTATTTATATTTGTGGTACAGGAATGGACCACTGAGTACAGTCCAAATGGTTTTTGGCTTGGTTTTTGTTGTTTGTTTTGAGACAAGGTTTCTCTGTGTAGTTCTGGCTGTCCCCAAACTCACAAGTATCTGCTGCCTCTGCCTCCAAGTGCTGGGATTAAAGATCCATGCCACCACACCCAGCTAAGATGCTTTTATCTCAAAGCCACAATCTTTTGCTTCCCCCAAGTTATCAAGGGAAAGACTTAAATAGATGCATTCTTTTAACTAGAACACTCTTCACATTGGGAAAGAGAAACTAGCCTTGTTTCACAACAAAAAAAAAGCACAAAAGTTTATGAAATTGGGCCTGGGAGTTGGCTCAGCTGGCACAGGCATCTGCAGACAAGACTGGCAACCTGAGTGGATTCCTGGGACTCCCGCCATGGAAGGAAAGAACCGTCTTCCACAAGTGCCTCTGATACTCACTGTGCCATAGACATAAACCCCCATAAATGAATGTAATAAATCTAAAGTTTGTAAAGTCTCATTTTTTTCTACTTCATTAAGATTCTTACTGAAGAGAGAGTCCAGTAATTGAGAGTGCTTGAAGCACTCCAGAGGACTGGAGTTTGGTTCCAGCATCCACACTAGACAGCTCACAACCACCTGTAGATTGTGGTTCCTTCACAGGCCATGGGTCCTGCTCTAGGGGAGTCAATGAGCTCTTTGCTTTCTCTCTGTCTCTCACACACACAGCATACCCACAGAGAAATAAACATAAATAAAAATAAATCTGCTCTGCCAGACAAGTGGTGACACACACCTTTAATCCCAGCACTCAGGAGGCAGAGGCAGGCCAATCTCTTTGAGTTTGAGGCCAGCCTGGTCTACATGGTGAGTTCCAGGACAGCCAGGGCTACAGAGAAACCTTGTCTTAAAAAAAACAAAAGAATTAAATCTCTTAAATTAAAAAAAGAACAGCTCTTATTTAAAATGCTGACAGTATGTTAAGGTGGACTTAACAGCGTGCATCCATGTGTAGTTCACTCCTCAGGCAGACGACAGGAGTCCAGGGATTAGAAACTTGCAGATGCACTTGTTTTCCACCTATTTCATGGCATGCACACATGGTACCTTCACACTTCACTCTGGACATTAACACTGAACGTATACTTCCCCCTTGTTCTTCCACTGTGGCTTCCTAGAGAAACTACTTAAGACATAATTATATCTAGCAGTGGCACTTCGACTTGGGTGTTGATATGCATTGGTAGTTCTGGAAGTCACCTATTACCCAGGGGATGATCTGTACAAACGGCTGGGGTGTTTCACTGGTAATGTAGTAACGGGTGCTGTTCACGGCAGGGAAAGAAGAGCCATAGTTGTCAATAGATCCTTCTCCCATCACAGAGGACTGAAAGCAGATTGTCTATGTGCCATCCCTTCCTGTAAGGAACACTGTCTAAGGACACACTGGTCCAGGAATAGTTTGTCTTACAGGGACTGGCCCAATATCAATCAACCCCAGTGTAACCTCTGCAAAGAGAACTCACAATCAGGCATTTACTAGCTAGAAAACGACCCCAGGAGCCCAGGAGATGTCTCTGGTCAGCAAAGTGCCAAGTAAGCATGAGGACTTGTGTCTGGAACCCCAGCAATGACATTAAGATAAAAGGCCAGGGGTGGGGGGTGGAGAAGGGGCTAAGGCACAGTGTAAAAGTGCCACACAAGCCTGACAACCTGAAAACTGGTCAAAGGAGAGAACTGACCAGCCAAGTGCTGTTTTGTTTGACTCTGGCACAGTGGTGTGCACGTGTAGTCCCAGCCCCGAGGATGCAGAGGGAAGAGGCTCCCTGGGGCTTGTGAGTCAGACGGTCAGCCTAAGTGATGGTCAGCCCAAGTGAACTCCAGATTCGGTGAGAACTCGTCTCAAGACATGAGGTGAATAGGCCAGCACGATGGCTTGATGGGTTGAGATACTTGTGCTAAGCCTGGAGACCTGGGTTCGGTCACCAGAACACATGGTTGGAAGGAGAGAACCAACACCTGGACAATGACCTCTGACCTCCACATTTGCCCTCATGGCAGGCACACACAAATCAGTGAATAATTTTTTATATAAAAAGGTGGAGATACATTGAAAAAGACGCCTGATATAAACTTCTAGCCTCCACAAACCCCTGTGCATACATGCACACCAAAACCACAAAATGACTCCAAGCAGGTTGAACTTCCCCCAGCCAGGTACATGGCATTCAAACACTACCTTTCTTTCTTTCTTTCTTCCTTCCTTCCTTCCTTTTCCTTCCTTCCTTCCTTCCTTCCTTTTTTTGGAGCTGAGGATCGAACCCAGGGTCTTGTACTTGCTAGGCAAGCACTCTACCACTGAGCTAAATCCCCAACCCCCAAATACTACCTTTCTATAACCATTCCCCTAAAACCATCCCATTTGTAAGAACAGAATCTGGGCTAGGGTGGAATTCTAACAGAAGCCCTCCCCTTCCATAATCAAAGAAGCCGTGACAACCATGAGGTACCACCTTTATCAAAGTGTACAATGTAACGTCACCATCTTAAGCAGTGTGTCCAGAGAACACTCACTGGTGTGGAGGGGCTGCATCCCTCCTAATCCATTGAAAGACATTTCTACTCAAATTAGTTTGAATCAGTGCTGACGTAGCCACTTCCAGGTTTATTGGCAGTAACTTTACACAATTTATTCCCGGTATCTGATGTTACAAACTTTGGGGTCTTTGAGATATGCAGGATCCTTGTATGTTACTGGCATAAACCCTGTAAAGAGATAATTAAAGTTCTTCACAAAGACAATGAGCAAAATCTTAACTAGTTCCATTCATTTGTGCAGGCGGACTTACCCATTTTCTGAGCTCGCTTAATGGCTTTTGTTATTTCTTTCTGTTTCTTTCCACAGAGACCTGTGAAAACAGAAGAGGTGCTTTCTTACACATCAGAAATGCTAATACTACATTTACAGCAGTTTTCTAAGTTGAATACTGGTGAGTTTTTTTTTTTAAGGAAGTAAAAAATCTCCTGTGGGTCATTCGATCTCACACACTCGATTCTGTTACTATGACTCAATGACAACCATGTGGCCCTATGTAAACAAAAAAGCAAATGACAGTTTGCATAGAGCCACCAGTTGCTGACACTAGGTTTTAGTCTAAGAATGGCAATTTTTTTTTTTAAGATTTATTTATTATGCATATAGTGTTCTGCCTGCATGCCAGAAGAGGGCACCAGATGTCATTACAGATGGTTGTGAGTGAGCCACCATGTGGTTGCTGGGAATTGAACTCAGGACCTCTGGACGAGCAGCCAGTGCTCTTAACCTCTGAGCCATCTCTCCAGCCCCAAGAATGCAATTTTAAAATATTTAGTTTTCCTGTCTTTAATGGAGGTGGCGTATGTGCACATGAATGCAGGTGCCTGCAGAAGCTGGCCATGCTGTATTGTATTCCCTGGGGCTGGAGTTAGAGAAGATTCTGAGCCACCTGACGTGGATGCTGGGAACCGAACTCCAGTCCTCTGCAGGAGCAGTATGCATTCTTAACTGCTGGGCCACCTGTCTAGACTCAAGATACAGTTTTCCTTAAGTCCAAATTCCTGTATGCTGTCACTCTGAAGTTAAGTGTGAATAAAGAAGGCAATTGCCCCTTGCACTGAAGGTAACTCCTTCCCTAAGGACCTCACTCCAGTCCCTGTGGCAGCAACTTCATAGTGACACAGCATGATTTGAAAACCTGAGATTCTCCTGAAATAACAGAAGCAATAAATGTGATTCTTACCTACATTTATATTTCTTTTTTTTTTTTTTTTTTTCGTTTTTCGAGACAGGGTTTCTCTGTGTAGCTTTGCGCCTTTCCTGGGACTCGCTTGGTAGCCCAGGCTGGCCTCAAACTCACAGAGATCCACCTGGCTCTGCCTCCCGAGTGCTGGGATTAAAGGCGTGCGCCACCACCGCCCGGCCTATATTTCTAAGATTAAAAAAAAGTACCTGTTATGTGCCTTCCATAAATGCATCCGGTAAATGGAGAGATAAACTGGGACAAAAGCTGTTTGGGGGTTATATTTGGAAGGAAAAAATAATATTAGTATATTTGTTATTCAACCCTGAATGTGTAAATTTAAAAATTTTTTAGAAATGACCTTCAAGTTATGTAAACATTTAATATGTTTCAGACAAAGTTAATAACATGAAATAAAATACCATGTAGCAAAAAAGCACCCTTTAAAAGTTAACATCTAGTGTATCAAAAACTTGACAAGACTAAGTAACATGAGTCAGCCTACCTGCTAGGTGCCAGGGCTACTGACTCCCACAGGCACCTAGAACACGGCTGCTTACAGCCAGTCACTGGATACTTGGCCCGTCATGGCAGGCTATCGAATGAGCTCTTTGGAAACACACAGACTAGGGCATTTATTTTAACTTATTCTTATTGAACACTTTAATAACACTTTCTAGATACTAGGCACCGTCCTTGGCTCTTCCCACAATCATCTGCTGCATTGTAGTTTTTTTATAATCTCTTGATTTTTCTCCTTCAAAGGTAGCTATCGCTTGATACTACTGTGAAAATACCTAACTCTAATATCATGCACTTTCTAATTTGCTGAAAACTTACAGAGGAACAGTATTTAAAGCGATAGCATATGACAGTGAACTGCAAAGGTCAACTTCACAAGAGGAACTTTCCCAAAGCACTCCAGTCTATCAATGTACAGTGAGCTACTGAGCAACAATAAAGAGGAGAAACACTTAGCCATAATATGACCGTGGGGAGTGGGGGGCTCTGAACTGAACAGAGATAACACAGGAGGTTATAACTAGATCGGATATCATCAAGTTGCTGAATCCGTCCTACATAAAGCCTGAGGACAGTGACATGATCCTCTGAGCAGATGAACCAAGAAGAGAATCCTAGTCAAGTTCACAGAGGCAAACCAACGCTCACCTGTACGTTCTTATAATCTACTCGCTTCTCACACAAAATACACTTCTTAAGGGGCTCCTTATAGGGGTTTTCCATCGGGATTGGCTAGGATAAAAGAAGCCTTGTGATGAAAACATGTTAAGACTGAGTCATAAAAGTTACAGCTATAGCTATACTTATTTACACAAGTACTTTATTTTGTGTCAATCTGGCTACAGAGGGATTACCTCATGAAAGATTCTGCAATGAAAAGTCATTTCTACAGAAAAGGACTTCCAAGGTAAGCACACTGATCAAAGGATTCTTTGCTCATGTGCTGTGTTTGGATTGCAGATGACCAAAGTGTCTTAGTTTATTTAAAATTCATTCAATTAAAAAATTATATTTCAAGATAATTCTTTGGTATACATATAATTTTATCATTGTCTTTCAGATTTATATATTAAGTGTCTGTGTGTGTGTGTGTGTGTGTGTGTGTGTGTGTGTGTGTGTGTGTGTGTGTGGAGTGCCCACACAGTCCTGAAAAGGGCAATGGATCCCCTAGAGCTGGAGTAACAGACAGTTGTTAGCTGTCCAATGTGTGTGGAGCAAC